AAAAAGTGGGCTGAAAAACTAGGCTTATACTTGAGTATATACAGTAAGAAACAGGAGACATTTTTGTAAAGTTTAAACACACCTCTCCAAGCAGAGAACGGGATAGTGCATCAGGCTAAATTTAAGCATACCTGCGGATAAATAACAGGGGCCCTTATTGCTAATTTATTTTAGGGTTATATGGCACTTATGAAAGAAGACGGTGTTCCTGATGACATGAAAGGAAAAGACAAAATTGTGTTTGGCAACATTCATCAAATATATGACTGGCACCGAGAGTATGTATGGTTTTTATTTCTGAGTAAATTTCATACTGTGTTTAACCTTGCACTGAAGAGATGAGTAAATCAACTCAAACATTACAAGATATCATGTTGGAAAAAAAGATGATAAGGGTGAAGAAGCGTCTTCTTTATTTGATATGTTGTTGTTTCATCAAAACTCAGTCCAAATTTACCTGCAGATAGCCATTTTCTCACAGTAATTACATTTTTAAAATTTGTACAGTTCCACAGAAGTAACAATCAGATGCAGCCAAAAGTATTGGTACTCCTTCACTTCCCCTCACCCCCCAAAAAATCCAAAAATTGCTATGATATAATTTGGAAGTGATAACAAGTAAATGGCATCTACCATCCTTTATTCTGTAGTCCACAGAACTGACACTTTATTTTGGCGTGTGACTTAATAGATTCTGGAAAATAATAAAACAAATAAAACTGACGTTGTCAGTTAGACATTCACTATCAAAAGGAGCACAGTTGTTTATTTTCAGTAAATTGTTATTCAGAATAAAGACGCTGCACTTGGCATGACTTTTCCTGAGCCCAAGAGCAGACTACTTTTTGCAGATCAAGATTAACATGGAGATGTAGATAACTCAAGCTGATTATAACCCCCTAACTGTGTAGACTTCCAAGTCCCAGAATCCTCAGAAATCGTAAGCTGGCTGGGAAATTTTGGGAGTTGAAGTACATGTATGTATCAGGATGATGCTTAAATAGCTACCTGTTCTGACCCCCCTCGTCCTACACCAAGGCACGCCAAAGATACTGCAAGGATTTATTAACACACACACAGGACCTTGGCAGTAATCGAGCACAGACAAGGCCTTGGCAGCAATCCAGCACAGACTAACCTTGGCAGCAATCCAG